ATGCATTTTTATTTGCATCATATACAAATTATTTATTTTATTTAAATGCTGTCGAAAACTGAACAGGATTTTGCAAACATATTGACCATATTTTTCGACCTATAGATACAACACTTCTTCACTTTAGAAGTAAGACTTAGAATTCAAGAAATAAGAAGAGAGAGAACAGTATTTATGAATAGAAAACAAATATATATGCTGGCTAGCAGAAGGATGCCTTTCATAAAGGACATTTTTAAGAGAAACTGGGCTCAGATTCACATTTCATGTAAGGAAAACCACAAAAAACTCCCATATAGCCAAGCCTGAACTACCACTGATTCAGTGGCTTATCACTCCACCACTAATGGGATTCCAATGACTGTTTCGAATCTTTCACAGAAAATCATCAGTTATGATGATTGTTGTTGTTTATGAATTACCATTGGTACAAAATTTACTCATTATGATAATTTAATTTTAGCTTTTAAATTCATAATCATAAAACTACTTGTAATAAATTGAGTGATTAAAAAATACACACTTCTTAATATTTTTACCATTTACAAAATTTAATCATACAGTATTTCTAACACTGGTAAAAAATTTACTCGTCATAATTTAATTTGATTTCTCTCATTTTGAAATATTTTTTAATTTTCTTTTAATAACAGAATCTAAAAAACTAAAGTAACATATACTAGTTTGAAATGCATTTATTAACCTTTTGTAAATTTCATTATTCGTAACATAAAAATTAACCTTTTGTAAATTTAAAATATTAGCTAAATACTAATATAATATAAATATTAACTAAGTACTTAAAAATTAATATTTAATACATTAATATTATATTTTTGTAATTTAAAATATTAACCTTTTGTAAATTTCATTACTCATAACATAATCACTGCCATAAATTCATTTACAGTAGTGTTTCAAGAATTTATCATAGCAGTACTAGAAATGTTGAAAATTAGAAAAAGACTGTTTATTCTAATCAAGAGCTTATTTTTTAAGATTGTTATTTAGTCTATAGATCGGGTTTTGTTGACAATCCGCCATTTTTTTCCGATTTTCAAAACCGCGTCTACCTTGGCGACCGAAGTTTCTCGCCAAATCAAAAAATTGCCAAAAGGACCAATACTAAAGCTGTTCCAGTACTTCTTGAGTATTATGGTCGATATTAATATAAATTTGTGCATGTGAATTAAAATTTCTGAATCTATTATTTTTATGTTGAGATCATTATGAATTACTATGTATCGAATAAACCAGGATGCATATGCTATTTTGGAATCTCTAAAATTATTCAGTTGCTTCTAGCTGAAGCTGCCCAAGCAGGCACTGCATAGAGTAGAATGGGCCTAATACATTTAAGTGCAGTATTCTTTTGGTGTTCAGACTGAGGTGGAGTTTCTTTCGATTAAAGGATAAATAGACTTTAGCCCTGACTTCTATGATATGGTGTTTAAAGGTAAGCTTTTTATCTGACTAAACCCTTAGGTATTTAATTTTATTGTCATGTGGTATAATAGAACCATCGAATTTAATTTTGTCATAATCTTGTCTGTTTGAAGTAAATTACAGAAGATTTTGTTTCATTTATTTTTATTTTCCAGCATTTGTAATGAGTGGAGATTTGATCTATGGTTTCTTGACGTTTTTGTTGATTGATTTACACAGAATAGCTGTGTCATCAGCATAACAGGCTATTAGTGTGTCATTATTGATTGGGATTTCATTGATATATGTGTTAAAAAGTAGTGGCGAAAGAATACTACCTTGCAGGACTCCACTTTTCATATTTTTAGGACTTGAGATTTTATCTTTTATTGTTACTTGGAAGGATCTTTGCATAAGTTAGTTACTGATGAGTACAGTGAGACTTGGAGGAAGTTAATAGTTGATGTTTAATAAGGAGGCCGTAATGCCACACCTTATCTAACGCTTTCTCAATATCTAAAAAGAGACCTGTCATAGTCTCTTTCTTGTTAGAACATTACCCAATATACTCTACAATTTTTGAAATTTGTTGAGTAGTGGAGAAGCCACTTCTAAAGTCAAACTGATGATCTTTTATAATTTGGTGTACTCTGATGAAGTTATTTAATCTATTAGTAGTTGATGAAGTTATTTAATCTATTAATAATTGGCCTATAATCGGTGTGTTTTCCAGATTTTTCAGGTTTTTTTAATAACTGTAATAAATCCATGCTTCCATTGTTTTGGGTAAATATTGAGTCTAAGGCAGGCATTTATTAATTTAGTAATTAGTACTATTGTTTTTATGGGTAATTCTTTTAGTGCTTTATTACAGATGGATTCATAACCAGCTGGATTTTTTTAAATTAAAATTTTTTATGATTGATTTGATAGTATTAGAGTAGTAAGTAATCGGTTGATTGCTCAGGCTTCTGTTAGTCGATAGGAAGGTGCAGGAAAAGCTGGAATGGGAAAAAATTCCCTTCCACACTTTTCTTCTAAACTCAGATAAAACTACAAGAGTAATTATTAAGGGATTACAAAATGATATGATTTCTGATCAAAATGATATGATTTCTGTCAAGGAAGATCTTGAATTGCAGATGACTGAGCTTCTATTATTAATTCTATCAGTCGATAGGAAATTATTCATGTGATCTATTATATGTTAATAATAATTAGCATTTAGAATGTTATTTTACAATTTTGTAATGTTATTTGGAATGTTACAATTTCAAAGCGAGCAATGGAAAAATCATATGGGCATCTGGTAGCCCAAATTTGGAATTTGTTTTATTATCTATTTAATATTTTGTAAAACTTTAACGAATTTTTGATTAACAGACTCAACAATTTAAAAGCGAGCAATGTACGAAAAAGTATTATCTCCATTGGACTGTATATTGTAAATTTTAAAGATATGCTCATTTTAGAATTATTTTGCGATATTGCTGTTGAATTGAATTGTATGGTTTAAGTGCAGAGAACATGATACTTGATAAATAAAGGTAACACACAAAACATAACGCCCCTTTGGGCGTAAAGTAAAATCTGAAAGCTTTCAGTTTTTATAATTTTTTATTTTTTTAAGAGGTAGGCTGATAAGAATTTTCTTGGTGTCCTTTGAAATTTTGGTTGTTAATTTTGAACATCTCGCATATAATTTTGTGTTTATAAAATAACTCGAACTTCTCTGATGTACATTTTACGATTAACAGAAAAGTTATTAAACATTTGATGTTTGAATATAGTTTTAGTGTATTGATCTATAACATTTTATCAGCATGTGGCTTTTGATTGTTTTACAGATCATACAAATGTACAAAACAAATAAATCACATAGGAAGGAAGAAGCTGGCAACTTCATTTTAAATTGCTCAAAATTTTTGTGTCTTCTCTTGCAGTCAACATGAATTTGATTAGGTAGATATTTAGATGTTGATGGGCAGTGCCATGCTGACATTTGTTACACTATTCTATAACCTTTCACTACTCTCCATATGACGACGGGATCAGTAAATTTGTATTCATGAGTATCTTGCTGGTGTCTGTACCAACAGCTATTAATTCATCTCTTTTATAACATTTCCAACAATCAGAGTTAAGTTATGCTCCCTTGTCACATTTCCATTTATCACTACTATCAAAGTTTTCACTAAATGATCAGGAACAACCACTAGGAAACATTCATTTGATTCATAACAATTCCACTAAATATCCACTGTAGTAGAAGAATACAGTCAGTGCTATATTTTCTGCTCATGAAGAGATTTTTGTCCACTTCAAATATTTTGTTAGAACTGGCAATCTTTAATGAAAACTGACAAATTTATGAATAAGCACTTACTTCTTTCATGTAGATATTAAGTCAACAATTTTACAGTGACTCTTGAGTTGCAGCTGACAGAATTTTACCAGTATTATCTCTTGATACTAAAGCCCACCAGCGGCCGAGCGGTAAAGACGCTGAACACTGGTAGTTCGGTCCGAGGTTCGAATCCCGCGAACGGGCTGGCTGCATGGGGCGTTTTCGTGGTTTTCCCCATGTGTAACGTGTATACGAGCCAGTTTCCCTTGGAAAGTCCTCCACGAAAGGCATCCCTCCCTTTAGGCAGATAGCCCTCGTGTGCTTTGCCAAAACTGAATAATCCAATCCAATCCTCTTGATACTAAAAGTAAGTAATTCAGAAGAGCTGGGGGGGGGGGATGCACAAAAGCTTAAAACATGTTTCCACTTCATAAGCCATTCTTTTTGGAGTGTAATCTTTCTTTGCAATACCGTTTCAGTTTTTTTAAAACAGTAAATGCAATTTAATTTTGGAATTTTTTTTTTTTAAATAAGCTTTCAACACTAAAAACAATTCAAAATCTAGGATTGAAAATAACTGGATTAATATTCATTCTTGTCACTTATTCACAGCCCTGTTATTGTGTATAAATTGATAGCACAAAGTAATAAGGCTGCTACATTTAGATCTTGTGCACCATTAACAGAAAAGTACCCCTTGTTGCCAGTAATGGCTGAATGTGTAAGATCATTGAATAATCAATACTCCACATTCATTTCTCAGCAAATAGGGTAGCTGCATGTAATTTTTTTGATTTTTCATATGTTTAACACCTATAAAATAAGTTACAATTTTTGCCTTATGAAAGCTTCCTTCTAGTTGAATCAGTTATTTTCTTTTATGACCTTATCTTAGCTTCCTGGCAACAGTTTCAATCTTTAAATTGTGCACAAACAATATGGAACTTGGAAGCTGAATAATGATAAAAAAAGGATACCGAGTGCTTTGATATAATCATTGATCACAGGCTTCTGCATTACACTTCAAATACCAAGCCACTTCAGGAACAATTAATCTGTATTATCCATCCAGGAAAGTGTATAAAAAGGGTATATACTGCATTATTCAGTTGCTTTTACATGCTGTCAAAAATTTAAAAAGCTCCCAACTCTTATTCAGGGCAATTTATTTTTGATGATGTAGGTTAGTAAAAACATTAATTGTAATTTTCTCCTTTTTTATTAATAGGTGAGGCATATCTTGTGTGAAAAGCAATCAAAAGTTCTTGAAGCTTTAGAAAAGTTAAAATCTGGTATGAAGTTTAACGAAGTTGCTGCTCAGTACAGTGAAGATAAGGCACGACAAGGGGTATAAAAGTTTTTAGTTTTATATATATGGATTTGATATATTTTGCTGAAATTTTTTAAGGCTATGTATTATATAAAAAAACATTGTATGTGTGTAAAAATGTTTTGAGTGTTTGCATAAAAGAGGAAAAAATACTCAGTCTTTGTGAGGTTCCTTAATCTTTCACAGGAATAGACACAAATTTATGTCTTGCTCCAATTTTTTTTTCTTTTTTTTTTTTTTTTTAAACTTGACTATAGGAAAGCACTCAAGGACTATCTGCCTAAGGGGAGCGATGCTTTTGTGAATAACTTTCAAATGGAAACTGGCATCTTATACATGCTGCGCATGGGGTAAACCATGAAAATGCCCATGCAACAAGCCTGTGTGCTGGGGTTCAAACTTCATCTAAACTGCCAGTGTTCAGTGACTTTTGAACCAATTGCTCACCGGCTGGTGAGCCTATTGGATCTGACTCCAAATTAATCTTTTTTAATTAGAACTTCATTTCATCAAATAACGTTAATCCATGTTTTAAATCAAAAATAATCTATTTTGTCTTTAGCAAATGTAAACAACTCTTTAGAACATCATCATCAGTAATCTTTTGTTGGCATTCCAAGAACAACAGAAATTGAATAATCTTTTTGTTACCATTCTCAAAACAACAAAAAAACAAATAAAACGATATTAATCAGTATTTAAAGTTTCTGTGCCACAACAGGCCCACAATTACCTTTGAAAACTGCATTTTTGAAAGGGAGGAATTTGTGAGATTAAAATGATATTTACTAATTTATTTATAAGTACAAATTTAAATCTTTTGATCTTCAGAAGATGAAAGAGTTTGATAAGAGCATGATTCAGAAAGGCAGAACTTGGCATTTATGCTAGTAGAAAAGTCCGGATGTCAACCTTTTATTATTAAAAGGTCTTAGAATGCTGTCCGCATGTGTAGAAGCAAAATAGCATGGTAGAATCATGTAATAAAATTTATGGCATAATGATTTAACACTTTAAAGCTTGCAGAACTGATTATTTATAATTAAAATTTTTGTTCTTTTGAAAAATTTTGTTATCTGCAGTAATTTGTGCACTGAAGTCAATGAATTTGACCAATATCTTTTTAATGTTCCCTTCATGATAAAAATGTTACTTTTTGAAATTTTTCTTTAATCTAATAGAATGCATGTTGAAAAACTTCTAGATTACTTATATTTATAGGTTCACCGGAAGCCAAGCAGTAAAACTACTGAATGCTGATAGTTTGACCTCGGTTCAAACCCTGGCAAATAAGCTGGTTGCATGAGCATTTTTGTTATTTCTATTATGTGTAATATGAATATGGGTCTGTTTCATGTAAAAATTTCTCCATGAAGTCATCACAGCCCATAGGCAGATAGCCATCATTTGTTTAGTAATAATCTAAATAATACAATCCATTCGTATTAAATTTTAGATAAATAGTGAAGGAATCTGGGATGAAAATATCTGTTTACATGCAAAATGTTTATTGACTATTAAATAAGGCTTGAATCGATTAAACCACTGTGTATATTACCGCACAAAATCTGTAAAAAATTTAAAATATATATATTATATATAATACAAACATTGTAAAACTTTTTATCTTCTAGTATATATCAAAGCAATATTTGAACTGCTTTTAAGAAAAGAAAATATAATTTAGTACTTTAAAACATTGCTTGATGTCTCCTGCATCATCTTTGTTTTGATTTATAATCACTTTAAAATCACAAGGTACTTAGTTTCATACATATTCTTTTCTGACATTAGGCAAAGTGTATTGGAAGAAGGAGTAATGAAATGCTTAATTTCAGTATTTATGTACCAAATAATTCATTATTTCAGTATGAATAGCGTCTGCATATTGACAGCTTTCTATATACAGTACAAAGTCCGAAATCCAGACTCGTCGGAACTTCGGTGATTCCCGATTTGGAATTTTTCTGGATATTAGATCATCAGTTTAAATCTGGTAAGATGGCATGCAGAAATTATACAATTAAAAATATGAAAACGTAATTTATGAAATAAAGAACAATTATTATCTAAAGGATATCAAAATTTACAAAAAAAAAAGCTTAATACTTATTGTTTACTTTATTAAATATTTCTTTCAATGTTAGTTGTTTAAATTGCTTCCACCAAAAAAAAAATTCAAAAAGTTCCTTTTTTTTTTCTTTTTCTATTCTTATCCATACACATACATAAGAAACTTTCCAATGCCATACTCCTTAGATATGCCTTTATCCATTTCTTGCAGCAATTCCACTTTTTGTTAATGGACATCGAAACATGGTTTTGCTTTGTAGATGGTTTGGCAGCTCCAGAAGAATTGGAAACTCTTTTTGACATAATCGAAAGTTCAAGCTTAGTTTTATTAAAATTGCCGTAATAATAACAGTCTGCAAAAAATAATAAGCTGGATCAAACTAGAAGATTAGAGAGCAGTGCAGTCCACTGCAGTAACTGAAATGCCTTAGAATCAGTAAAGATAATTTTAGCCTACCCTAATGGCGTCCGTTATAAACTGGTGTGTAAAACTTAAGCAACAATGTAAAAATTTAGCAGATAGCCATGAAATTGCAGAAAAGGAGGTCTGGAGATCAGTGCAATGAACTTTGTAAGTCAGTAGAAACGCCATGCGTATGCAAATATTAGGAGCGAAATGTCAGAGGCGACGTGAACGTATACAAAACGCGTGATGTTGGCGCACACAGCTCAACAGTAGAATAAAAGGAAGGACGGAGACGCAATTCAACATATTCGCTGCAAGTGCCAGTGAGTCAGTTCGTGAAATATGGCTAGAAGAAATCACCTGGACGACTTCACACGTGGAAGAATGATCGGAAAGCTGGATGAGGGGCGTACTGTCACCAGTGTAGCTGCAGAGTTCGGAATTATCAAAAGTGTCGTTTCTTGTGCTTGGAAAGCGTTCCAAACCACAGGTACAGCTGTTAGAAAGATTGGTGGTGGCCTGGAAGGGATGACCGATATATCGTCCTGTAAGCGAAAAGAAGGCGACAGCAGTCAGCAAGCGCCATTGCTCAGCAACGGGGCGACAAGCGTCGCGGTTTAACTGTGGCCAGACGGCCTTCGCAAAGGAGGGCCTATTTCGCCCGCCATTCTGAACGCTGCCTCCCGTTGAAAAAGTTGGCCCACCGACACCACCGTTTACAGTGGTGCAGAGAGCGCAAAAACTGGACAACTGATCGATGGAGTCGTGTCCTCTTTACGGATGAGAGTTGAATCAGTACCAGAAGCGATTCTCAATGCGTTTTGATTTGGAGAGAGGTCGGGACCTTGTTTTATCCCAGTAACATCAAGGAAACGACACCGTAACGGTGGTCCTAGAGTTCTTGTCTGGGGAAGCATTATGCTGAACGGGCGAACTAAGCTCCATGTTTCGACAGAGGGTCTGTAACTGGGGATTGCTATTGTGAGGAGGTACTCCTTTCCCCATATGTGTCTGTTCCGAAGTGCCATTGGCCCAGACTTAATTTTTATAGATGACAATGCACGGTCACATCGGACTCTTGCTGTTGAGGAGCTACTGGAAAATGAAGATATCACTCGAAGGGATTGGCCAGAGTACTCTCCAGATTTAAATCTCATCGAACATGTGTGGGATGCATTGCAGCACACTTACATCCTCCGGATGTAACAACAACTCAAACAGATGCTGATTGAGGAATGGGCACTCCTACTGCAAGAAATGTTACACCAGCTGGTTCTGAGTATGTGGAGAAGGTGCGAAGCAACCATTGCAGCGAGGGGAGGGCATTACCCCATATTAAGGAACATCTGCTTGTTGTTCTTCCTCTTGGATAGACAATCATGAGTCACGATACTATGCGTTCAATAAAGCTTGTTTTTGTTTGATTCCATACCGTATGCATTGTATTCCTTTTTTAGCTCTGATGCTTTCGTCATCTTTTACATACATAATACTCTCCTTCATTTCTGCATTTCATGTCTCTCATTTGATTTCTCATGGAGTTATGGCAAAAAACCCTGCTGTTGCTTAAGTTTTGCACACCAGTGTACATTATTGGCTGTGTATCACAAGATTGGCGACGAAAGCCAAGTTGTTTCGTTGAATTTTGTCTTGCTCCTATTGCATACTGAATTGTATTAGTTTAGTTATTTACTATACCTACATTTATTTCTTGCACATGCTTAAAACTAATCTGAGTCCTGAATAAACTCCCACATATACTTAAGGGTTTATCTAGGGCCGCCACTAAATACCGCCTGGTGCAGTCTCTAGAGGAAAATTTAGAACTTAGGACCTGCAGTCTCTACAGGTCCTAAGTTCTAAATTTTCATTGTACCTAAACTTTGCATTCCAGTGCTTTCCCTAAATCGTTTACTTCTCATCCCTTAATTTTGCCACTCGGTGCTTCCCCAAATTCCAAAAATTTTGTCTTCCCTAAATTCTGCCGTAATAATAACAGTCTGCCGCCACTACTGGGTTTATGGTGAATAACATATCAGTTATTCTTAATTAAAATAGCACTAAATGTAATCTTTTGGCCTATGAGTTTTATTAACAAAATCTATTTTTAGCATATGAAAAGAAATTTTTGTTTAATTTTTCCTCGTCAACATTTCTTAGAGCATTTAAAAATCTATAATCATCGCCAAGCGTAATGCAGGGTTCGTAGCAGTCATTATATTGAAAATAAAATAGAAAAGGCCCGTATAGGTGCTTACTTTTTCTCTAAAGCACTTATTTTTCCTTTCTATTGCTTATTTTTTGCTTTTAGTGCTTGCTTTTTTTTTTTTTTTTTATGAGCAAACGCACATTTTTTCCCCGTACTAAAAGCCGAAACTAAATAAACAACTTCCTTTATATCGAACGTCAAGACGGTGAATCATAATCCCAGAAATAGCTTTTCTCCCTTTTTCTGCATTAAGATAACCTTTGGTGCGTGCGAGTGCAGACAGGTGCACGTCATTTTATTGGCCAAAGAATTGCGGAAAGCGGTAGAAAA